ATCGCAGAATTTACCGCATAATCAGCAAAATGGCGCAGATTTTTAAAAGGCCGCATATTTATCAAAAGGCCACATAATCCCCACATTTTTCCACACAAAGTTGAGAAAAAAAAAGTTAACTCGTCTTGACGTGACGTCATCAGCTCGCGCATCACAGAATGTAAACAACACTGTATAGAGTGAATGTGTGGAGCTCACACGATAGAGAAAACACCAAGATGAAAAAATCTAATCCATCTCATTTACCGACGAACATTTCTACTAAAGACCGGGCAAAAAGTGGTGGCAAACTATTCTGCACCCCGTGCAACTGTGTGTTGGAGCATAAGAGAAAATCGACGGGGACGACCCACTTTGATTCATTCAAACATTCGAAAATGGTTTCTGCTGCTGCGGACAAGCAAAGCCAAACAACTCACGTTCACCGAGGCATCAACCTCCAAAACCCTTTCGAGGGCTACAAGAAACGAAGTGAGTAGCCTACAAGATTGAAGCTGGTCATACGAACGAGTAAATGAAAACAGAATGAGGCGGAGAAGTGTGTGTGTGGTGTGTGTGTGTGAGATTAAAATAGCCCAATTGCTTTTACAATAAATAAACATTGGATGTGTTTAATTGAATAGTAAAGGGGTTTAACGTTAGTGGCAGGTTGTGTGTGAGAGAGAATAAATAAGACAGCCCAATATTTAAAAAAATTGTTATTCTTTTCCCCCGCATATTTAGCATATTTCGCAACTTTCCGCATATTTCGCAACTTCCGGCAATTTCACCGCATAAAATCACATAAAAACCCTGCATGTTTAATCGCATAATCAAGGATTTTAGCCCGCATAATCAAGGAATTTAGCCCGCATAATCAAGGATTTTTGCCCGCGTTTTTCTGGAGGGTCTAGTTATGGTTTTGTCCATGTGAAAATAGGAATCCTCATGGCAACCAAGTATTCACCTAGTGCGTCTCACAGAACACATACAGTCCACTATGATTTCCTCAAATGTATACATCAATAAAGATTTCAATGGATTTATGTGATTCACAGCAGAAAATGCCATTTCTTCTTTTTGCCACATGCAAAGTGACCCAGGGTTGAAGGAATTATTTGTAGAGGCCAAACAATGGTACTACAATTTCTGGGTCATGTGACGTCAATGGGTCCAAAAATACTTTTTCCCATTGACCAGAACAGACAATTGAATAGCCCCTATTTAAATCATTATGTCCTACAATGTGTGAATCACATGAAAATCTGTATCCAGAGTTATTTTTCCTCTTCATTCATTTGACTGAACTGAGAGCAGACAGGATGAAGCAGATTGGAGGCAGGGCTAAAGGGAAAACGCAGTGTGCATGATCTACGGATCCAGATACGGGTACTTCTGCTCTCAAGGCAGCAATTCAGTTCTCTTTATACATGCATGTTTGGCCAATACGATCATTTGATACAATGACCAGCACTGGGGGATTGCTATGAAGCTGAAGATTGATTGATAACGTAACCCCAAAACGCTGACCAATCAAACTACTCTGATTGGTTAGCTAGGTGGCTCTGTTGTGATTGGCCAACAGCTTAGAGATGTCCCACCCCTTAGCCTTTCACATACAATGTGTTGGAGCGCTAGCCAATAGAAGTGCGAGTGTTACTAAGTGATATCATTATGTACAGGGGTGCACACAACTTTCTCAGTGAGGTACTCAGATGAGTACCTGGAGTCACTGTTTGGTACTCCAACTTCTGGCTACCCTCAAAGTTCCCATGAAGCCCTCTGTATCGCGAATGTCAGCGGGGGGGGGGTCCTGTCTGTGGACACGGAGACCGACTGTCGTCCGGTGATCTAACCGCCTTCTGGAAAAGCTTCACAAGTACGTCGGTACGCAAATGCGCTTTGTGACACAAGTGACGGTAGGCATTTCAGATTGTTGCCGCGCATGCGTACCTGCGTACCACTTATGTGCACCCCTGATTATGTAACAGAAGTAAACACATGAGAGCAATGGAGGCGTTTCAGAGAAGGGGGGGGGGAACAGGGAGTTTAGCCTCGGACCATTTACATGCACAAAAACCCATATAAAAACTCTAAGAAAGGGACAATTCTGAAAAGCATGATAGGGTCTCTTTCACATTACAGCATGTAAACATGTTCTAGTATAAAAATTGAAAAAACAAATAAACCTGAAAAGTTGTCTATAAAGATTAAAGCAGTCTCACCATGTGACACAGACGGCTGGATGTGATTGGAGGAGGAACTCTGCCACACACCCAACCTCGCTGCTGAGGGGGCGGAGCCTGGTGCTGCCACAGGTAGAGGCTGTGTTTCACTCTCTACTATGATAACTGCATCCTGGTCACACTCTGCTGAGTCATCAGCAGGGAGAGGAAATGAAGGGCCCCTGCTGGCTGAGTCACTGTCGGGGGCCCAGCGGGTGAAGAAGGTCTCCAGCTCAAACAGAGAGTACTCAGAGCTGAGGGGGGTGCTGGTGATGGACCTCTGCTGTTGTTGTGCTCTGGAGGTAGCTGCTGAGATGGTGTCTGGTACCCTCAGCTGGACCGCCGCCACACTGCAGGGGTCCGCCGATGACTGAGGGGCTGCAGACTGGGGAGGAGGGAGAGAGGTGCGTTAGGACTTACATCGTACTAAGGTACAGGACTGGATGGAGATCCAAACACTTAGTTGGACATTTTGGAAATATGCTCCCAGTGTCCCGGCGCCAGGCAGCAGTCGGGGGTTTGGAGCCATGCTCAAGCGCCAACAGTCCACATTGTATTTTTGTATTTGGACCAATCGTACTTGAACCGGCGACCCTTCTGTTCCCAAGTCCCTACAGACTGAGCTACTGTCCCCCCCCCACAGCAAATATACATACAAAAACGTGCAGATTAAACTAATGAGCAAGTATTTTTGTTTAATGGCAATACACAGTATGAAGTGTTAAAACGACAAGTTGTGTTGTTGGCAGTTTCATGCTAAACTTAAGTCTTCCGAGGTATATAATATAGAGATAAGCAACTGGAGTTATTTGATCATACTCTATTGTGTTTTATTTGTGTGTAGCGTGAAATTATTTTGTATTCACTATGTATTGCATAATGACAAATCAATTGAATTTGTAATTATAAAATGCTGCTTTAGATGTGTGTGACAGAATCCGACTAGCTGAACTAAGTCTAACCCCCCCTTCAACTCTTGGGCTCATCACTGATCAGGTTTATATATAAATAATATACTGTTTTGGAAAACTGTTAACTCTGTTATTGTTGTGCACATAAGAATAGCATGTGCTTTAGAAATGTGATCTAATCCAACTTTACATGGAGGCAAATATAGTTTTACATATGGATAATAAGAATATTATAATATTGTGTCACAATTTTGTAATGTATGATTAAAAGAAAAAGAAATACGCATCTTGAGTTTTTCTTAAGTTTTAATGATTACATTGCAAATGGTCAACATTAGGCAGCATTGAACATAATTGTGACACAATAAAAAGTTAATGTTACATTTACAGTAAATGTTTATGCTATGATGGCTTCGGTTGACATAAAAAAATCACATTTTACACATACAAAAATATGTTCATTTTTGTATATAAAGAGAGCTGGTGTATTATTAGGAGAAACTGAAGGCATTTAAAAAATAATTACATGATCAAATACAAATATTAAAAATAATAATTATAATATAACAATGAAAATGAACACAGGATAGCTGACTGAATTTAAAACACACACACACACACACACACACACACACACACACACACACACACACACACACACACACACACAAACACACACTCAAAAACAAGAAAAACAAACCTAATTTCTCATGTTTATAAGATAACTCACTCAATCATATAAATCTACAGGATGATTTTTCCCCACCTTACTGCTCTGAGATATCTTTCAAATACCGTTTTAACCTCTAGTTACTGTCAATGGCTTTTACGTTGGCGGGGTTTTTTGTATTGCTGTTGAGCATATCAATACAACCGTAACTGTTTTAGATTAAAAGCCTTCTTACAGCTGCCCAAGCACTGAAGTCAATGAGAAGTGTTGTTGCTGCACCGCCTGATAGGTGTGAATGGTGCTGCGGAAATAAATACTATGCTAACATTCACACGTGAGCCATTAAAGTAGACTACCGACAATTTCACTCGTCCATCGGTTTTTCAATTAGTCTGTCTAAAAGGGAAAACAAATACATACTGCATGTAGTGTTATTTCTCAATAGTTCTGAAGTGGAAACAATTTTTGTTTTTACTTGTTATTTAGGGGATTTAGAGACACAAAAGCACAGCGTGTTTAGTTGTATCACTAAGATGTCCCTGACTGCGTGCCTACGTCTGTGGGTGGTGTCTCTTTTGGTGTTTTTTCAGGTTGCTGGGGTCCGAGAACCTCTCGGGGCAGAGGGGGCACTGGTACGGCCTCTCCCCAGTGTGGATGTTCCGGTGGATCTTCAGGTTCCAGAACTGAGAGAACTTTTTGCCGCAGACGGTGCAGCCGTACGGTCTCTCTCCTGTGTGAGTCCTGAGGTGGGACTCTAAATTTGCCGGGGAGCTGAACCCCTTGCCGCAGAACCTACAGATGCACAGCCTCTTCCTCTGGGATTTCTGCTGCATCTCAGCACTTAAACTGCCCTGACCTCGGCTTTGCCCTGGACCCAGGAAGTGCTGGGGCTCCTGGATCTGACCTGACACGTGACTGGGGCCGGGATCCTCCGACAGATCGATAACAGGGGACTGCTGGAGAAAGGAACCAGAGGTGTGGGAGCCTCTAGAGCTTTCAAGAGCCAACCCCCTTCCTTCTGAATGCCCAGCATCCATTGTGCTGGGCGGGAATGAGAGGGGGGCGCAGTGAGAAGACGGCCCTGGGAGGCTGTCGTCGTGACAATAACTACCCCCCCCATTATTCCACTGCGAAGAATGCCCATAGCTGACCTCTGAGAAGCCCGGCCTTGACTCCTGCAGGTCGGACAGCTGATTGGTGGTTTGTGTGATGTCATCAAACGGCTGAACAGCTCTGTAGTCGTCGGTGCTCGACTCCACCAACCCTGCAGACACACAGAGAAACTCCCTGTCAGACACACTGTATGTACTGGAAACCATTATATTTAGACATTCAGGCTTTTCATAAAACTGAATACAACTGGAAGGACAGCTGCTGCTAAAGAACAATTAAAACAAGTGCAGAGAAAAACACTTTGTTAATGTTTTGATCTGTTACCAGGAAATGGGAAAGATGCATTTGGCCCAGGTACATCCTTTAGTGTGAGGACATGAACAAACATGATTCATTGAAATATTATAAGTAATATGCACATGTCAGTTCCAGTTGCTTTTCCAATGTTTAATTGGCTTTTAAGCCGCCTTTAGCTTAGCGGTGGTGACATGAAGTCATGTGACCGTGATGCTATTTCATTTTGGTGATTGCAGTTACGCTTCAAAAGTCATAAAGTGGTATTCATATGTGGAGATTATCATGCTGAACAAACGGGTAAGTATAACAAATGTTTGTTTGCAATAGATATTTTCGATAATATTCCAAAATCCAATGTAAAAATCCCATTGCTTTCTTGTCGAGGGAGCCTTTGAAATGCTAACTTCTGCGTTGGGCTACGAAAATACGTCATTGCTGCCCCACTCTTTACCGGCATATATACTTTGCATTGTAAGGTTGGTTGGAGACCTCATAGTGTGGTAACTTCTTCAATTGAAAGGTGGGGGTGCGCACTCACCCTCCTGTATGCTGAGGCCTGTCTGGCTCCCTGGCTCCCCCTCTTCTACCTTCACCAGCACCACATCTGGCTCCACCTGCTCCTGCACACACAGAGAGGAACTATCAGATGTTTCTGCACCGTAGACACACAGCACCATAGCACATGATACAGAAATATGAGCAGTGTAATAATTCTCAGTGGATTTGTCAGCAGCAACATAATTGCAAACATTCTGCAAACCCAATACAGGTATTTGAAGACCATTTCAACAGTGACCTAGAATTTCTCAAATGTATATTTACATAAACAGTACTACTGGGGTCCTCAAATCTACATTTAAATCAATCAGTTAGTCAAATGAACCGTACTATAGTGTTAACCTTTTATACATTCCAGTTGAATTAATTAATTCGTTAATTAACATTTATTAACATGTATTCTAATTAAGTCCAAAATATATTTTATGATGGATGGATAGATTTTTTTTCTCATTGAAACACTTCCTGTTTCAAAACGAAATCAGTGCTAATACGGGCATTATGGCAAATGATTGCCTTAGTTTTTAGTATTCACAATCTGATGATAATCTTGATCTGTACACGAATCAATATCCCCCCCTTCTATAATAACAACCTACTTCATGCATATCCATTCAATATTTCTCCCTTTGCACTATTTGACATTTCAACTTTTTTGTGTGTGTGTGCGCACGCATATGTGTGTGTGTGTGTGTGTGTGCGCGCACACGCAAGCCCATTGAGAGCAATTTAAACCCAGAGTTCAGGAATCAGGAACCTAAACTCATCTGAGATGTAAAAAAAGACTGAACAGTGGTTTAAGAAACATATTTTATTCCATAAATTACATGTTTTATAAAATGGTAAATATTTCAACTTTAAAATACATGAAATGAGTTACATTTGTAATGACAAAGCTCTGATCATTTACTGGGAGTATATGGATACCATGTTCCTCTGCAGTGAGTGAATACTGGCTTAGACTGAATTCCAACAGAGGTAGGAGGCGTGTGGCGCAGTGGATAGAGCGTTGGTGTTCGGATCAAGGGAGCACAGGTTCAAACCCCACTGCAGTCAGCATGTCGTTGTGTCCCTGGGCAAGACACTTACCCCCAAATTGCTCCTGTGGGGATTGTCCACAGTAGGTCACTTTGGATAAAAGCGTGTAACAAGTAACATGTAATGTACCAATTTATTTTATTCCCACTATATAACCAAAGGAAACACAATGTGTCAGACATATAACTGGAAAAGCCTCATTTTAAAATCTCCTGTTAACAATGGAATTGAAAACATTATTTTCCACCATGTTCAGTCAGTCAGTGCACCCCCACCTACTACTGTGTAATGCTTTTCCTATTTTATTTTTTATTTACTGGTCGCACAAGTTGTGAATAGGACCTTTTTCCATTTTTGGTAGCACCTTGAGGTTCAATCTTTCCATATACAGTCCGAGTACAAAGTGCAATCAATCAGAACACTCATGCTTTTATTGGCTGGAGCTCAATCACATCGGCGAAGGGGCAGGACATCTTCCAGCAGTGAGCCAATAATAACCGAGCCGCCCAGCTAACCAATCAGAGCAGACTGGGCTCTGGTTTCAGACAGAGGGTGAAAAGAGGTGCTGCAGCACAGGCAGTATGAGAAAAATAAAGAGCTTTTGAACATTAAAGCATGGAGACATGTCACAGTAGAGACAGTAAATACTGATATGAACTTGAAATGAGCATAATAGGGCCCCTTTAACTCAATACAGCTTTAAAGAAATGGCAACCTTGAACAATCATGTAAAGTACAATTGACTATGAACCGACATTTGTCCGTTTGGTTGCAGATTAAAAGATTCCGAGGGTCACTTTTTAGATACTGTCACACAAGCGAATCCTCCCTACACTGAGGTAGGTAATCTCCTGTCTATGAGAAAAAGTATCTTTGCAGCAAAAGGTAATATTCTTAAGGTAATCATATACCATATGCTAATCCTAACCAGAACTCATTTTACAACAAATCTCAAAGCCTGATCTTATTAATCTGAGCCAAAGAGCTCCATGTTTGTCCCAAAACTATTTCACACTGATGCACTGTGGGAAGCAGGTTGGAGTCTAGCACAGAGCATGTTACTGAGAGTGCTGTGGAAGACTATGTGGCAACCCCGTCAATTCAGCATTTCTACATAACTCATGTACGTGTGTTACCTTTCTGTGTGTGTGTAATGTGTTTATATTACAGAAAAAAATAACAATGTAATAGTTTTAAAACTACTACATTGTTATTTTTTTCCCAGAGAGTATTTTAATAAAGTGCTTAGCAAATTAGTAAACTTTATATTAGTAAGGTGTTTTTACATCAATCAGAGAGTATTGAGAGACCCATTAACAAAATGTTGCTTTGTGTATGAATATGAAATATGTTTATACCAAAAGCCTTCTGCTTTAAGACGCTTGTGTGAAACTGGACCAAAGACTAGGCAGAGTCTCCACAGCAGCAGAAGGGATGCTGGTGTGTTTGCAGCAACATCATGTATGAATGGTAATACTACTTACTATACTTATACTGATAGTACTTTAGGCTACAGATTAGTAAAAATGTGTCCTTAATGTTCTGTCGGAGACTTTGACAATTGTTAAGAGAACATTTGAAAAAGACAAAGTCGTCATAACCAAATTTAATTTCTAAAGTATAAAAGCTTGACCTCAGCATTTACTGGAATGCCTCTTGTTTCTCTCTTTGAAAACAATATCACATTAAAATTGTTTCATGAAATGTTTCACATCAACATATCAGAGCATCTCAGAGTGTTTTCTGGATGATAAAATCTTTCAGTATCCTCCGGTTGGTTCACAGTCAAGGCCTGCTCCCAGCTCTCCTTCAGCAGAGATTTCAGGGTGGCTCTTCTGGTGTGTTTTCAGGTTCCTTATCCAGGCGAATCCCCTGCCACAGATCTCGCATCTGTACGGTTTCTCTCCGGTATGAACTTTCTGGTGTTTCCTCAGGTTCCCGGCCTCGGAGAACATCTTCCCGCAGGTGGAGCAGCTGAACGGTCTCTCCCCGGTGTGCACCCGCTGGTGGATCTCCACCTTCTTGGGACGGTTAAAGGCCTTGCCGCAGTAGCTGCAGACAAACAGTCTCTCCTTGGTGGCGGGGCGTCGCTGCGCTGACCCGCAGCCACTGATGGGCTGGGAGGGGGGGGCACCGGGTCCGCAACGCATCCAGCCGTTCATACTGGCAGAGGTTGATGGGTAATCAGCCGCTGCCATCGAGTATGAGCAAGACGCCTTCCTCCCTTTCACTTCGTCGAAAAACTCCTCCACCAACAGGTTCGCACCATTATCATTGTCACACAACACGTCAAAATGTGAGTCCCTGCTGGCGTCATCAACATACTGCTGTGGGGAGTCTCTGCCCTCAACACTGAGTTCACATGTAAGGGGAGGAGAGGAGTCACTGACCTCCACTCCTCGGCTGCTGCCGCCCGGGGGTCTTCTGCTGCCCTGGATCTGGGCCCGGGTCTGACTGGAAGTGGACTGAGTCTCCTGTCCTCCAGCTCCATCCTCCACCACGCCTTCAGAGAGAACAAGACATGGAAAATAAACATTTAGTGCTTTACTCTCTTTCACTCCAGTTCTGAAGTCTTTACACTGGCTTCCTGTGTGTCAAAGAATTGATTTCAAAATACTGCTGCTGGTTTATAAAGCATTGAATGGTTTAGGCCCAAAATACATTTCTGACCTACTGCTAAATTATGAACCATCCAGAACTCTCAGGTCTTCTGGGACTGGTCAGCTTTCTGTCCCCAGAGTCAGAACTAAACGTGGAGAAGTTCAGTTATTATGCTCCAAATATCTGGAACAAACTCCCAGAGACCTGCCGGTCCGCTGAAACTTATTTGATTACCATTGCTTTTTAATGTCCGTTTTTAAATTCCATATTTCTTAATGCTCTTAATGTTTTTTCATTGTTTTAAAGCACTTTGAATTGCCTTGGAATGTGCTATATGAATAAACTTGCCTTGCCTATACAGACACAACTTCTTTCACACAAGTATTCATGCCCTATTTTGTAGTTACTAAACTCCAGAGGTGGGGACTCGAGTCACATGACTTGACTCGCATATTTTTTTACTTGAGACTTGCTTGACTAACATTGATAAAAGACTTGACTTGGACTTGGTATTCATGACTTGAGACTTGACTTAAGCTTGAGATAGATGACTTGAAAGGACTTGAATGTTTAAAATTAAACATTTGCGTTTGTTTTTGTAGTGGGATATTACGTTTAGTTTTTTCGAAAAACATGATTACAGCGTCATGCGCACAAACCTGGCAACCCACTAGAAGGCAGAAGTCTCAGTTAACATGGCAGCGGCTAGCTTTACTCCAAAAATAGTGAAGTTTGGATTCAAGGATTATTTTGTCGATGACGGTAATAAGAAGAGAACAGCGGTATGCAGTGTCTGCAGCATAAAGATCAGTGACACGACCACAACAAAATCCAACTTCATTCGTCACTACAAAAAACCCCACAGAGAAAGGTGCGTCACTGTGTTGTGTTAGCTAGAAAGCTCGCGTTAAGTTTAAGCTACGATAGACTTGGTTTCAAATCGATTAAGCATTGCAAAGAGAAGACAAAACTGTAAATTAACACTACAACCGCCAAGGGATTCATTTTGACTAACCCTGATACTGACAGGCTGTTAGGAGAGGGAGAGAGAGAGAGAGAGAGAAGCCTCGTTTGTTTCCCCTGTGTTATTATCAGAAGTTACTGTACACTTTTGAATAATGTAGTTCATCTACTTTTAGTAGTTTGTTTAAATGTTTTATGTTGTTTTTGTTTGTAGAAGTGCATCATTCCTTGATTTATTGTAAAATGAATCTGAACTTTTAGATCTTTTATGATGATAAACTGAAGCAATTTCTAAATTAACCCAATTAACTGAGTTTTAAATCGCCCTACTTAGTTTATTAGGAAATTATGAAGAGGAATAAATTAAATGATTTGAAAATGATATCCATGTAGGTGCTGACGCTGTTGGCGGTTCTAGTGTTAGTGTAAATTAAATATGTGTAATGGCAAATGCCATATATGATTTTCTTACCTGGAATTCGGCCTTTTTGAACAGACTTTTTGATTGAGTCCTAGCTATATTGTCTGCAGTTCTAGGGTTAATATAAATCTAATATGATTGTCATCGGTCTAAATTAGATTTCAAATGATTAACTGTGTATGTAATGAAGATCATAGTGTGGGTTGAATCCATTTTCATAACCACTGTCTTTTAACTGATTTAAATGCAGAAACTGGGCTTATTCATCAGAATTTCGATATGACTTGACTTGCTTGACCTGAGCAATGACTTGACTTGACTTGCTTGACTCTCACCACAGTGACTTGGGACTTGCTTGATACTTGTAGGTCAAGACTTGAGACTTGCTCATGACTTGCACATGTAGGACTTACTCCCACCTCTGGTATTTACTGCAAGTCAGATGACAGCGCATGTTTTCACCCAAAATGGGCGGGGCATTACATATAGGGAACAAACCCGGATGACTTGCTCTCATGTATGCCCACATTATTAAAGAACGTTTTTAACTAGTTTCAATTATTCAATGAGACAATCCTTATCGTTTTAAATAGTTCCCATCGTTGAAAGACAACATTAAAAAGGCTTCTTCTGATTGAATGTAATTGATTTATATGTAAATATTAATAAATATGATCCAGTTTAGGGTTGCAATCAACGATTTTCCTCAAGAAAAAATACATTCACAATTGAATAAAATAAGGAAGAGCTGTTTTATATTTTAGAAAGTGCCGGTGAAATATTTTAATTCGTGCTCAACAACATTTCTAAATGTGATGAATGTTATTAAGATGTTCTGTCATTTTCTTTTATATAAATGCATCTTCAGCTATAGCCTTGTCTAATGTCTTCAAACAGATTGTGTTGACAACAGATGTTTGTGTCATCACTGCCTGATATCTTTATTCTTGTTACACATCTGATTTATAATTTATTTAATCAGTTTGTGTTGTTTGCTTGTTGTTTTACTTTGGTTGCATTGTTGTTGTCCGTACATCTCAAGGGGTTTAACCTGATACAGAATACATTCAAACTGAATTGGCCATTATTGTATTAGTGCATTAAACAATAAACGATATGTCACTGTGCAAATATTCATTAATCAAAGAATACATGAAAAAAACGAGTACGATATGAA